CGTATGTTCGAATAAGTTTATGGTATTTTTAATATGCATTTGATAAACTGGAAAACCTCTAAAATAGGAAAAAAAATGAATGGCTTTGTAAATTTGCCGCAAATTTTGCACTATGTCGTGAAATTAAAAACTTTCGAATTTATTAACAACTGACAAATACATGTAACCCAACGACTTGTTCACAATTAACTGTTACAGTAATTCCACAACATATATACTGGTACTTGCATGGTAGAAGAATGAGAAATATGACACTGGGTCATATTGGGACTAACATATAGTTCAATTATAATTCATTACACATAGGTGTCAGGCAACCATACTTCTTTTAGTGTACAAGCAGGGAATTAAATTTGAGATTCAAGTGCACACATTAAAATTAAACCATTCGGCCAACCATCCTCCCAGATATGACAGTTTAAATAATTGATAGTAAAATAGAGAATTTGAATGTCTACAACGCTAATGGCAAAACACTGACTACTGTATTTCAGTTGACAGTTGTTTGGTGGTTCAATTCCACTAAGTGTTTGACATCTCATCTCTCTTAAAACTTGAAATCAGGTTTAATTTAAACTGTTACACATTCATTATGCAAGGGCTAAATCTGCCTATTGTAGGTCTTTCTTTAGGCCTGAAATATTATCTAAATTATTAATCGGACATTAATTAACTTATCAAGACAATAATCAACTCTTGATGCCATCGTTAGCCTGCGATATTTACTGGATTTGAATATATTTTGTGATGGTAAATTTAATGTAAAAATGGATAATCGAGACTGCTATCATCCCAATGTCTGTAATGACGACCGGGATTAGCCTAAAATTCAATGGCTATAATATTGGTTCAGAGTGAAGCATTTTGACTGAAACTTTCAGCATATTCTTTTTTCATTATCTATTTTTTAACTATTATAGCAAGAACTGTCAGCTCTTTATCTGATCCTATTATCACATATGTGATAGAACTGGTTAAACACGTTCGATAGATGCGTAATAAAGGTCTCAACAATCGGAAGTGACGAACGCAAAAGGAAAACATGAGTTATCCCTCTGTATAACTGACTGAAGTGACAAGTGATAACAGATAAACGGGCAAATTTCTGCTAACTAATAATTCCTCCGAAGACCAAAAGTTGTTATATGAGACTGTAAGAGGATATCTGGCAATTCAATAAAGTAATTGAATGTCATTAGATAAAGAGAACACGAGAAAAATAGAAAGAGAAAAATAGAAATAGTCTGTACATTCCCTTGTTTTTATTCATTCTATACCTTATAAAACCATGGTAATGCATGGACTTTTTATATTTTTCTTTCGTGTTCTCTTATCTAGTGAGAGTCAATTCTTTTTATAAATTGTCAGATATCCTCTCACAGTCTCATACAACAACTTTTGGTCTTTGAAGGAATTATGAGTGAGCAGAAATTTGCCCATATATCTGTCATCACTCGTCACTTCAGTCAGTTATACAGAGGGATAACTCATGTTTTCCTTTTTCGTTCGTCACTTCCGATTGTTGAAACCTTTATTACGCATCTATCATAGCAATGATCTCTGTTTAACCAGTTCTATCACAAATGTCATAATGACTGACACCAATATTGTCCTTTAATTAGATGCACCAACCAGGTTAATAAAGACAGGCATACATCCTCCTATAAATATGAGGGAAATTTCTGTCTACACTAATTTAGATTATATACAGCCAGAACGTCAATTGAAGTAGCCTACAAATTAAAAAGTGACCATTTGTCGATATAAAATATTTTTCCTGGTCCAGATTCAGGAGCTCTGGTCAATTTAGCGCCTAAACAACAATGAATGACCGATTCTAATTCCAAAATTTAATTAGAGAAATTCCACAATATTGTTTCTATTGGTGCATAAACTAGGTCACTTTAACCAGTCCAATTTTTTTTAAATTACTCGCTTCAACATATGGGACGTTAGCAGTTAGGGAAAAAGCCACAAGATTGGGCAATTGACCCTACTTCTGGGGCTCAAAATCATGCCACTTAGGCTCAAAACCATGCTGCATAAGATCAAAGACAGACCTTATTGCTGTACGTATTGCAAAACATGTATTTATTGCGATACATAGTCGTAGATGTAGGTCTATTTCCAGCTTCATCTTATTAGAAATTCTTGGAAAACATTAAAGATCAACAGATTTGTTCATGTACATTTTTACCCATTATTCTGCTGTATTGATCGAACCTACAAAAACATCCCCACAACTATATGTCAGTAAAATCTATGGTAATAAGACATGCAAAAACTCAAAAGAATTTATAATCTAACAATTTAGTTCTTAAATTCTAAATAAACTGTAATTCAATTGTTTTTAAGTTTTTTTTTTTTTTTATTTCAGTTACTTAAATGTAGAATTAATTTTTTACATATTATATACATTTCTACATATTATAATTTAACCAAAATATAATAATAATTATTTGGTTCTCGTCAATTACATTATTCTTATCATTAACATTCAATAAAATATTTTATTTTATCATGTTTTTCACCAAGTCAAATATAGTTTGTCTATTAATTGTTTAAGTTACAATAAAATCTTAACCATGTTTCTAAAAAAGTAAAAATGAAAGAATTTCTAAATGTTTGACATATTAACGGAAATCTTAATGTAAAACCTTGTTAAAATTTCTCAAATAAATTGTTCAACAACAATGAAAGATTTATTTATCTTTAACTAACAGGTGCATTTTAGACCAGGTCATATACAAAATCTTTGAATGTTTTCATTCCATAAAAGTATGTACATGTATAATGTAAAGCGCTTATATTTTAAGTATATGTACATTGTCCTATCGCATAATAAGTCAGCATGTACATGTATAATGAATGTACCGGCATCCACAAAAGGTCAATACTTTTTTATGTACTGGTATCATATTCCATTTACCAATTTTTCTTGAGACAACAACAAACCAGGTTTCATTGTTTGTGTTCTCAATATAAAAGTTTTGAGTAAAACATAAAAATCCATATGCTGCCTCTGTCAATGGCCACAAGCCTCACAATTGTCATAATAATATTTTCGCATAAAAAGAGATTACGTAGTTGGGGGAGGAGCCTGATTGATTGGACATGCTAGTAAATCTTGCCATGGGTCTTGTAACATAGTAGGGTGATAATACTGATCTATATCATTACTTCCGCCTGGATTACAGTTTACATCAAATCTACGATTCTGGAAAATATAAAAATCATTTCAAAGTTGATTCAAAAATAATAAAAAAGCTAATAACTTTTTATGTCAGTCTATTGCGCATTCTGGCATTTGTCAAATCAGTTTGTCTACAGACTAGGAACATGTAAAAGAATAGGTTCATTGTTAAATATAGTACCAGTAGGCCTACAAATTATCTAACAATGAAAATTTGGATTGAATGTACATGTAGGCTAAACATGAATGTGATACAGTCCAGAGATCCTTTACCTAGCTTTTTTGGTGACTATTTAGACGGACAGATCAAAGAGATTCAAGTTTTTATCAGAGTGTGAAAACTCAAAATAAACCATCTAGCCCATGGACAGTAACAACTCATTTTGTTACCACTGTTGATCGCGTTACTCTAAAGACGGCACATTAAACCAAACTGGGTTGTAGTTGATCTTATTCTATAATCACTACACTCTTCATAACAATCTCTGCCTAAATTATTGTATCTAGCTACAGGCCCAATGAGGCTACCAATCCACGTGTTGTGGCTACATGTGAGCTATGTACATTGTATGTAAAGTACATGAACGTCTCATATCTTCATTTCAGTGATTGTTAATACATATACTGACTATTTTTTTTATCTTTGAAAAAATCTCAGTCCAAATGCAGGTTGAATTTAAAGATATGAAGAACTGAAAATTCATCACAGACGATAAACTTATAGAATAGTCCTACATGTTTTTAACACACGCCAGATCCAGCGATGATTTGAATGAAATCTATTGATGGCCCTCTTTATTATCCGACTGAATGCAAGCCGACAGATTATCTACCACAGATATTACAAAATACAAATTATCAGTGATGTTAATACACAAAACTGTTACTCATAAGAGAGTACAAATAAAAAGCGTGTGTAAGTTAAATCTATTAAAATATCACAAATAAATTTAAATTATAAAGGTTATCTTGTGTGCTTTAAATTTACTTTTATGATAAGCTTACTCTCTACATCCTGCTAATTAAAGATCTACTATATACAAGCGAAATAAAATATATTAATAAAAATTTCGACTTAGTCTTAACAAACCTTAAAATTGTGAAATCTTTTTGCTGGTGATTTATTAAAACGATTGTTAAAATCACCAGTCCAACTTCGACCATGGGGAGTAGAATGTCTTTGAACAGGTTGTGGGGTTCGAAATTGTCGGGGACCGCTAAAACGTGGACTAAACTGTCTTTGATCATGATAGCCCTGCCCAGTGTTATTGGTATATTTTTGATGAGGTGAGAAGCGAACATTGTTATATGATGGCGCCGTAGCCGGAGAGCCCCATTTTTGAAACGACGTATTTGGACTTCTGTCGCTAGAATTCTGTGAATGTGGATTACTATTACGGTGTGAATACATTGTCGGTTGACCACCAGTACCTTGTGCTTTCTGAAAAGAATTACCGTCTCTAGAATTCATGAAAAATGATGAAACCTAAAATTAAACAACATGAAAATATCAAAACAACGCACAAAAAAACATGGGCGACAACTAACCGGAAGTTCCTTTTCGGCGGAATAAAAAAAAAATGGCTGATTTATAAACGGGACGAAATGTGAAATCAAGTCGAAAATATTAAATTATAATTTTTACCCTCATATCACACTCTAAATTCATTCATATCATTATTTAGAATTAACCTCATTATCTTCTTGTAGCGAACCCTTTAATTAGTTCAATAACACCAAGAGAATTCACGAGTAAATCCTACCCTAGATCTAATGACGTAGAACACATTGCGATACCGGAAATAAGAAACCAAGCCTCCTTCAATGAACAAACTTTTACTTTATTAATCGTAAAGAATGAAATATTTGTCATAAAAGGGCATAATATAACATGCAAACTCGTACTTCTGTCAGTTGTAAATGAAATTGCTTTGGTGAATTATGAATACATTAGTATTCATGCTGGACAGTTGTTGATTCCAGCCAATAGCCTACTCAGTAGGCTACTCTATCTGTGATACTGATAGGCTACTCCTCTATCCCAAGAACGTAAAATAAAACCCCTCGAAATCTAAGTATTTCGTTCAAAAACTACTAAAGTTAATTACATATCTAGCACACACCGATGTTGACGAACGAGTTGAATTTTATCTTAGGTGCAATTGGAAACATTGGACATTGGTCTGATACAATACTAAAAAAGTCAACATGCAGCAGTTTGTACACGATAGAGGTTTGTTTATAGTTAGCCCTAACAAGGCCCATGACCCGCATAACTTAAATTAGTTAGGTACACTAGAAGAATACATTGGCAATCGCTTATTTACCTCTTTAGAAAATTGTATCCAATCAAGTGAACTATTCTAACAGATTATATTTCTGTGATAATCATATTATCTGTATCTCTGAGAATTTAGCATAATTATGATGAGAAACCGAATACATTATGTATGCGCTAGAATTTCTTATCACCTGTATTCTAATTCTGTATGCCTCTAATTTTGTATTTAAATTGATTTAAACCATTTGTTTTTGTAATGAAGAACATGTAAGCAAAGATCTTAGGCGGTTAGAGGTTTGGCTTGTATTGTGTAACCCTGACATTATTGCAAATTAGCAAGCATCAGAAGTCATCAAACCAAATTAATTGTTTGTGCATTAAATTAAATTTATGGAAGTGTTTGAACAGTAACATTCATGACATTAGAGACAGTTAGGGTATTCTGATCTATTGACAAACATCTTATTAAGTTATCATTTTTCAAGTTGATACCAATTCAGACAGTATTAATTAGGATTGAAAACTGAACAAACCTGGATAAAACTAGAAGGACTATACATGATTATCTGTATATATATATCTATATCTATCTATTGGTATTAAACATACTTCAGTGTGAAGTATTTCAAGTGATGTTCCAATGTGGGAAGATCTTAATTTATGCTATTGCACAGTCCCTTTTGATTGCTTAAAGCCATCATTGTAATTGATAACTGTTCACTTTGGCTTCCATATTGAAAAGCTTGTATAGCAATTATGAGGGAAGTAAAAAGTGACACCTTTGTTAATTGGCAGAACCCAATCAATTTATACTCCAGCAATAAATCTTGCTCTATTATTGATTTAAATTAAAACTGCAACTCAGGTTTTAAATGATTAATGAGTATGGTTTTATTTCGGCTACCGGTATCTAACTCATGGTAGAAGCAGATATTAACTTCTGGTGAGAATATAGGTTATACTCTTTGGGTGTTATAGGAAACTTGGAATATATTTAGATTTAATTATGAATGCAGCAAAATGGCTTGGTAAATGTTGACATATCTAAAGCCTAAATTACAAATTAGTAAATTTTATCATCTGTAAAATATGTGAGCTTTAGAAAGTCTGTCATTGAGTTAATTGGCTTTGGTTCAATCTCATGCTTGTATATGGCAAGCTTGAAGCCATCAGATTTCTTGCCCAACCTGTTGAATTTACTCTAGATCCTTCTGGTTTCCTTGTCCTACATTCATGAAAGTGAATTATTAAAATAAAATGGTACCAAGTTTGTCCCGAAATGACCTAGTTTGTGTTGAGTAGACATTAAGCCCTATTTATTGCTCTCACAGTCATGTAGAAGTGATAATAGAATAGTAATTTCTTTTTCAGTGAACTCCACGAAGCCTGAACAACATATGTCATTTAATTGTGAAGGACCGGCTAATGCGCTAGCTTTAAATAAAGATGCAACCATGTGCGTTGTGGCTGGAAGAACAGGTAAATATATACAGTATAAGGAAAAACAATTACTGGTTTATTTACATGCCACGTTTCAACGATGGTACTCTCGTCTTTATATAAGTTTGCCAGTATTTTGCATGAATCCTGATGGAATTTAATTTTTGTGGGGATTGCCATTTTGAAATATAAGAAGGTTGGGTTCCAAAGGGTTTAACACATGTGCTTTAGATCATAAGGTCTGTCATTGAGTCAACTGGCATGGTTTTTTATTCCGGCTTGTACATGACAAGAAGTAGAGTTGCCTGTCCAAGCAAATTATTGAAATAATTATTTCGAATAGTGCTCTGACATGACAGATTTTTTAATGTTTAAATTCCAATAGATTTTCAAATGTATTGGAATCAGTAACGATGCCTCAAGGCTTAATCGACACTACTATGCACACAGTGAAATCAACTAATGTTCAAAAGTAAACAGATTATAGAAAATAAATTGATTGAATAATTTACAGTACTTATTCACTGAACATTCACTAAACAAAAACTGGATCATTTCAATTGAATCAAATAACACTCTAATAATGATTTAGAATATTAAATGGTAAAATCAGCATACAATGTTGCCATTAATTTTGATCAGATTTTGAATGATTGTCATAGGAGACAGAGAGTTTTACCTGGATACGCCGGTTAACAGAATCCATTGTATTATCTGTTATTTATAATAGAATCAAATTGATTTTGTATTTCTTATTGTTTAATTTTCTATATTTCAGTATTTAGAATAGTTGGAATAGAAGATCATGGTTTTGTAGATAGAATTAATCTTCGAGTTGGTAAAATTAATCTCAACTATTGTGCTGCCGATGTAGCATGGAACCACCATGATGGTAAGTTGTCAAATCCTCTTCTCTCTTTCAATGAATGTATTTGATCAGCAGATAAACAAGTTATTATTCAATGTGCATCTGGCTTTCCCAGTTTGTTTTTTTCATTAAAGGGGGGTTGGATGTCCGAATGGTTAGCATGTGCATGCTGTATCATAAGACCTGTGATTGAGTCAACTGGCGTGTTTTCGAACCCCCAGTTGTACATGACAAGGAGTAGGGTCGTCTATCCAGCCTTGTGGGTCTTCTCCAGTCCTCCGGTTTCCTCCCACTGCTATAAAGACCCCTACGCGCAAGCGAATTATTGAAATAAAATTAAAACCTTATGTTAGACCCGAAATGACCTAGTTTGTGTCTTGTGAACGCTAAACCCCATTTCTCTCCCCCTCTCTCTCTCTCTCTCTCTTTTTTCATTAAATTTAAAATTGTCTAGGGTTTTGGTGTATTTCCGTCAGATTATTGTGCTTATTGTCAAGTGCTGATTCAAACAATCCATAGTAGAATGTTGAGATTTTACCCAACAATTACAGGTTATAATGGCTTGTCTATATCGTCTGCAGAGATTGATGGATGTTGGGAAATGTTCAATCTCATTAAAACACAGATCCTATTTCGTTTCGTTTTTATAGTTCACAATTTCGTTTTACTTGTCTTTACTACACTAGGATCTGGAAGAGTTGTTATTATTGACGTGTTCTGAATGGTGTGAGGACTTAGCCAAGAAACAGCGAGCTTTAGGCATGTTTTGCATGGAACTGTGGGTAATCCACTAGTAACATCAATGCTGATTGGTTAATTAGATGTCTGACATCATAGGGTCAAAAGCCGCTTGTATGACCTCTGACGCGACCTATCATTACAACCTGTCATATCTTCATGCCATCGAAAGTATAAAATAATGAAACGAAATATAGATATGTATTTTAATCAGATTGGGAAATGTTTAATTCATTCTATCATTATGAATACTGGACTGATATTCCAACTTTCATAATATTGTAGTTTGAAAGGCTTTCAAAATCTTTCAAATGATAATCAACAGTTTTCAGTTATCCACCAAACTTGATAACCATAACTCCTTTAGACAGATCGGTAATCAACGTTGTTGAAGGACACGCTCGGCAGACATTCTACAGCTGGAATAATGTTTTATAATGTGATTGCTGTTGTCACCATGGATGAACCTTGGCCATAATAACACAAATGGAAATTTTTTGATGACCTTCAAAACTCGACAATTACCATAACCAAACTATATTGGCGTGAAGAAAACAACTATTTGAGACAAAGAATTCATTATAATGTAGTCTCTTTAGTAGACTGATCATCGTGATGAAATATATATGATATTTTATTAGAATAGACGAGACATTGCTTTTATTTATATTACAGAAAATATTTTAGCATCAGCTGCCACCAATGGTTCTGTTGTTATCTGGAATTTAAACAAGCCAAACAGATCAAAACAAGGTTAGTTATGGCATGTAGATTATTTCGTGAAAATCGTACCGAAACTGCCCATCAAAATTGCAGCTCCTCGTACACATTTTAAAAAAACATTCGAATACATCAACGTTAGATCATAATGATGGTCGTGTTAGATTTTCGTGAAAATCTGAATGAAACTGCCCGATAAAATGGCCGTGTAAAAAAATAGTCCAAAAAGTATGTAATACCAAGGTTGTGGATACTCTAAAAGACACATTTTGTCAGATTTTGATGAAACTTATAAAGATTTTGGTTCCTTTCGATATTCGTGCATATCGACTTTACTTCCTGATCATACCAAAAAAATCACACTTTTTTTTTAGCTCATTCTCTTGCGAAATGTGAGCGTATCTTGCATGGCAACAGCTTGTTTTTTATTATTACTGGATTATTTATGGGATACAATTTATCCCCCACTCAGGTGCTGAATGATAAAATTTCCCAGGATTTTCTGGCCTGCTTTCCTATAGTCCTTTGGATGGGATGTAAAATCGAGGTTCCTTGTACACATTGGCTTTCACGTAAAAGAACCTTTGGCAGTTGGATTTAGAATAGTAGGCGAACACACTGCAACCCAGGCTAAATGTCCCTCATAACGTGTGGCTCGTCTTCATAATCTTGGTTGTTGCTGAAAAAGAAGAATTTAAACCCCATTTCTTTTGATTCCATATCATCCACTAGGATGACATGCATAGGTATTAAAGCGAGACATTTACTAGATGTATAAAAAAAATAAACCTCCATGATTCCTGGAATTCACCATAGTTTGTGTGGAGCTGGTAATAATTTTGGTAATTATTTTCTTACAGAATTTTTACAAGGAGTAGGGGTCACCTGCAAAACCTTAGGTTTTCTCTGGGTCTCCACAGGTTTCCACCCACTGCTAAAGACCCCTATGTACAAGCGATAGTAAAAAATAATGTACCATATGTTAGTCCCTAAATGACCTAATTTGTGTTGAGTGGACATCAAACCCCCATTTCTATCTCTCTTACAGAATGCGTTCTGACAGATCATAAGCGAACTGTAAACAGAGTTATCTTCCATAAAGCTGATGCTTCCATATTATTAAGTGGTTCCCAAGATGGAACTATGAAACTGTTTGTAAGTAGATTTTATTATCACCTATTTAACATATAGACCACACAAAAAAACTACATATTTAAAGGAGCTATATAGTATTTATTGCGCATGCTCTCCAAATAAGAATATGGCGTCACCGTTTTGACATGACTTGTGGAATATGTCTAACTTCGTTCTTCGAGTCCCATGTTACAAATGGTGCTGAAACGCATTATAGTACACGATTCGTGTACCAATAGTAAAATGCTTATTTTATCTTGAATATTGGATATCAGAAGCCCATCTTTTTCCGGTAAGATCACAACATCAATGTTGATTTAAATTGACAAATAATTCATGTTTTCAATGCTGAAGACTTTGGATGATATTGAATTAGAGACTTAGCTACTTTAAATTTGGTATCATGACCATGTTCGATGCATGCATTGGACATTGAATAATCTGTACTCAGCAGAAGTACAAATAGACCTTATGATGAAAAGAGTGGTAATGTATTCATAACACAAAAGTGTTGTAGGAACAAAACCTTTATAATTAAATTACATCTCTATTTTACATAAGGTCTGTTTGTACTTCTGTTAAGCAGAGATTATTCCATGTTGTAATAATAATGATATATTTTACAGGATATTAGAAAACATGCTGTTAGTTTAACATTTACTGGTAAAATGTCTGAAAGTGTTAGAGATATACAGTTTTGTCCACACATAGGCTCAGGTTATTTCCTGTTCGCAGCAGCATATGATAATGGAAATATTCAGGTATTATATATAGATATTTATCTTTGTTTAAATCAAAACAGAGACATATTTTGTGATTGGTTGACTCTAGATCAACCTACCAATCAAGACCTGTGACACAGAAGTTTCTGTGACGTCTTTTAAAAGGCTTTGAGTCTCCAACCAACATAATAAAATTATTTATGTCTGTCACAAAAACATTCTTTCATTTTAATTTTTTACAAATAATGAAATATTTTATATTGGATACTATTAACAAATGGCTACATTTTTGTCTTTTGGTGAAAAAATCCTGTATTTGTACATACAGTATGTAACTATTTATGTTCATACTGAAATTAAAATGAAATGGGGTTTAACGTCCTACTGTTCTGCTCCAACTGGGCTAATGAAGGCGGACATACGCCATACAGTGTGCTATGAGGTAAATTTTGCTCGGGCAGTGACACTATGTTCTACTCTTATATCGAATTCCAACTGCCAAGGGATCTTTTACGTGCACGCCAATGTATACACGGGTCCTCGTTTTTTTGTCCCATCCAAACAACTAGACAGCTGTCCCTTGCACTATTTGTTTATACTGGTTTATACACGGTACCTTGGTTTTTTTTTTGTCCCATCCAAACAACTAGACAGCTGTCCCTTGCACTATTTGTTTATACTGGTTTAGAACTTGTTTATAACTGTGTACTGCTATGTATATATTTGTAGTTATGGGATATGAGAAGACAAGATCGATGTATTAAACAGTTTCCTGCTCATACTGGTCCCGCCTTTTCTCTTGATTGGCATCCTGAAGAGAAAGAATGGTTAGCTACAGCTGGACGAGATAAAATGATAAAAGTATGTATTTTTATAGATACATTATGTAAAAGCTAAATCTGCCTATTGTAGATCTTATGAATTATTATTTAGACATTTATTCACATAACAAGCCCGGGGTGGCGTCCTTACTGCGACACTACAGCGACGGAAAATGGTCGCAGAGCGCTTCTAGATCGTCATAAGCGGGGTTGCAATGCCAGATATCGTGCTGTGGTCTCCATGGTCCCCAATGATCGCCGAGTCACGGATCCGCGATCTGACCTGGAAAGCTGTAAGAACACGACTTTTTTTCTAGTTTGTAATATTTTGGGACATTTTCTCTGGTTGTGTTCATGTTTACCGGCAACCTTATGCATTTTCGGATCACTGCACTGTCGCAGCAGCGCAGTAAGGACGCCGCCCCGGGTCTGACTGGGGCATTAGATATTTTGATTGGAATCCTCTCGCCTTTAAAAAATTAAAATGGATAATCAAGACTTTGTTTATTATCATAGCAATGGTACTCAATAATCAAGACAATCTTGTTAAAACACTCATAACGTTGTTAAATGTAAACAGACCCTATTTTGGTAGACAACTTATTTAAGAAGAGGGTTTTTTTAAAAAACTTATTAGAGAAAATGTTGGAGGTTTTCGGATAGAATATAATTGTCCATTATATATTATGTTTTTAAACCATTGAAAGATTGGATATTAGTTAAACATACATTATGCAAGAGCTAAATCTGCCAATTGCAGATCTTTCTTTAGGCCTGAAATGTTATCTAAATTATCAATTAGACATTAATTAACTTATTAAGACCATAATCAAATCTCGATGGCATCGCTAGCCTGCGATATTTACTGGATTAAATAAAAAAAATGGATAATCGAGACTATGTTTTTTTTATCGTACCACCTTTAGTAATGATGATCGAGGCTAGGCCTAAAATTCAATCGCTAATTACTTGGTTCAGGGTGGATCAATTTGACTGAAATTTTCAGAAAATTCCCTTTACAGTATCTAGTTTTTAACTATTATAGTGAGAACTACCAGAAATACGAACAGGCAAACGACAGCCACAAATATAATTAATAACAATATAGCTACTTTAAAAATTTAAACTTTTGAATATTGTTAGGTTTGGGATACGACACAGAATCCAGAACGGATGATCAAATCTGTCCAAACGATAGCATCTGTGGCTAGAGTAAAATGGCGACCACAGAGAAAACTTCATTTAGCCAGTGCTTCATTGTTATTAGATCATCATGTAAATGTTTGGGCGTTAGGTCGGCCGTATATACCATTTGCTACATTCGATGGTCATAAAGATGTTGTCTCTAGTAAGTATTAATATATAATCAGAGGGCGTGGCAATGCAGGTCCCGTGTACACATTGGCGTGCACGGAAAAGATCCCTTGACAGTTGGAATTCGATATAAGAGTAGGCCGTAGTGCCGCTGTCTGGGCAAAATTTCCCGTCTTCATTAGCCCAGTTCGGAGCAGAACAGTAGGACGTTAAACCCCATTTCATTTCATTGCGTTGCAATGCAAATTATTGCCAGCATGGTGATTTTTCCTTGAAGCAACCTCTCCTCCCAGTAATGTCACACTAAAATTATATATATATATATATAGAGAGAGAGAGGGAGAAATGGGGTTTAACGTCCGCACGACACAAACTAGGTCATTTCGGGACTAACATATGGTTCAGTTTTATTTTAATAATTCCCTTGCATGTAGGGGTCTTTAGCAGTGGGAGAAAACCAGAGTACCTGGAGAAAACCTACGAGGTTGAACAGGCGACCCTACTCCTTGTCACGTACAACTGGAAAATCAAATTCACTCCAGTTGACTCAATGACAGGTCTTATGATACAGCGCGCATAATTATATTATAATTGATTGAATCCAAGTCGGGAAAGTATCTAAGTGTAGAATAATAAATTTGAGTACATTTTAGCATGAATTAAGCCATAGAAAAGTTGACATTATGACTTGGCTTATTTTTGTCCCCCGCCTTTCGAAGAAAGCAGGGGACTATTAAAATGGGTTCGTCCGTCTGTCTGTCCGTCTGTCTGTCTGTCCGTCCGTCCGTCCGTCCGTCCGTCTGTCCGTCTGTCTGTCCGTCACACTTTTTGGGACACAATAACTCTCTTCCTAATTGAGCTAGAATGTTCAAACTTGGTGTATGTGTTTATTAGGTCAATGCCTTGATGGAGTTCGAAGATGAGCATTTTCCGCTTAGGGTAAGCAGAGATAAGCAATTTGATTGGTTGATGCTTTGGGACACGATAACTCTCTTCCTAATTGGGCTAGAATGTTCAAACTTGGTGTATGTGTTGATTAGGTCAATGCCTTGATGGAGTTCGAAGATGAGCATTTTCCGCTTAGGGTAAGCAGAGATAAGCAATTTGATTGGTTGATGCTTTGGGACACGATAACTTTTAATTGAGCTAGAATGTTCAAACTTGGTGTATGTGTTTATTAGGTCAATGCCTTGATGGAGTTCGAAGATGAGCATTTTCCGCTTAGGGTAAGCAGAGATAAGCAATTTGATTGGTTGATACTTTGGGGCACGATAACTCTCTTCCTAATTGAGCTAGAATGTTCAAACTTGGTGTATGTGTTGATTAGGTCAATGCCTTGATGGAGTTCGAAGATGAGCATTTTCCGCTTAGGGTAAGCAGAGATAAGCAATTTGATTGGTTGATGCTTTGGGACACGATAACTTTAGTTCTAATTAAGTGAGATTGATGAATCTTGGTGTATAGTTTCATTACAGTAATACCTTGACTAAGTTTGATAATAAGCATTTTCTGCTCAGGGTAAGCAGAGCGATACGCAATTTGATTTTTATATGTGTCCTCTAATTATTTTCCTATTTCGGCGGGGGACATCAGCCTCACTGTTGGCTTGTTGTATCCTATTCTTTATGCTTTTATATTGTATAATATTCTTGAAATAAATACTGTTTAAACGAAATATAAAATTGAATGTTTTTCTAGGTATAGTATGGTTAGATACACATATATTTTTTACCTGTGGTAAAGATGGTTACCTAGTTCAACATTCCTTTAAAGATGCTAAACGTCCAGCAGACAGTGTGATACCATCAGGAGTAGACATGGATTTATTCGGTCATGTTTCTCATGCTTTTGGTGAAAGAACCGGATCTAGTAAGAATTTTTATCTTTTAAACATACATTATACAAGAGCTAAATCTGCCAATTGCAGGTCTTTCTTTAGGCCTGAAATGTTATCTAAATTATTAATTAGACATTAATTAACTTACCCAGACCATAATCAACACTCTGTGTCATTGATAGCCTGCGATGTTTATTGGATTATTTCCGATTTGCTCTTCGACTTCCATTCGTAATTTAATCATGAAATGGTTAATCGAGACTACGTTTTTAATTGTACCGACTTAAGTAATGATGGTCGAGGCTAGGCCGAAAAATTCAATTGGTAAAATCTCTGTTCAGAGTGGATCAATTTGACTGAAATTTTCAGCAAATTCCCTTTACATTATCTAGTTTTTAACTATTATAGTGAGAACTACAAGCTCTTTGTCAAATCTCCCAAAATGTATCTTTGAAGTTTCATATTTAGAGAGAAAACAGAATAGAGAGAGAGGAAACATGAGTTTGTAGAAGAAATGCTGCTGTTCAGGCAAAATTCTTTGCCTCAACTTGTGCACATAACCATAGAAATCAAAATTACTGCATGTTAGTCTTAAAATGCCCTATAGGTGTTGATGAGAACTTAATTCCCATTCCATTCAGTTACTATTCAATACTTGACAACATAATGTATACCCCCCCCCCTCTCTCTCTCTCTCTCTCTCTTCATTCTTCTTTTATTGTCCCCCGCCTTTCGAAGAAAGCAGGGGACTATTAAAATGGGTTCGTCCGTCTGTCTGTCTGTCCGTCTGTCCGTCCGTCCGTCTGTCTGTCCGTCACACTTTTTGGGACACAATAACTCTCTTCCTAATTGAGCTAGAATGTTCAAACTTGGTGTATAGGTTTATTAGGTCAATGCCTTGATGGAGTTCGAAGATGAGCATTTTCCGCTTAGGGTAAGCAGAGATAAGCAATTTGATTGGTTGATGCTTTGGGACACGATAACTCTCTTCCTAATTGGGCTAGAATGTTCAAACTTGGTGTATGTGTTGATTAGGTCAATGCCTTGATGGAGTTCGAAGATGAGCATTTTCCGCTTAGGGTAAGCAGAGATAAGCAATTTGATTGGTTGATGCTTTGGGACACGATAACTTTTAATTGAGCTAGAATGTTCAAACTTGGTGTATGTGTTTATTAGGTCAATGCCTTGATGGAGTTCGAAGATGAGCATTTTTTCGCTTAGGGTAAGCAGAGATAAGCAATTTGATTGGTTGATACTTTGGGGCACGATAACTCTCTTCCTAATTTGTACTTCATATGTAAATAATCGTAATCAAAATGAACCTAAACAGATCGGATGAACGCATCTCGGGAAATTAAACCACTCGTCTAATAAGTAAACGAGGTAAATAAGTGAACGGGTCGTCCATTTATAAACGCCTCTTGGAGAAACTAAACGAGTTACCATTAAACTAAGCAATAGTACTAACTAAACCATTTTTGTTATTCTCAAACGATTTTTATCAATTATCAAATGATGTATTGAAAGTAAACTATATGCATACTATCTAGTGGTAAAATCCCCGTTCTAAAGGATGCCATTGTTACAATGTAACATTTCGAGCTGAAGCTTAGCAGAGCTAATCAATTTCATTTGTCACAAGATAATCTTGATTCTATCTAATAGAGAGTGATGAGACTTAGTGTATAGTTTGATTGCTCAATACTTTTGAAAAAAAAGTAAATGTGCGATTAATTAATGTGTGTCATCTATTTATTCTGGGATTTCAGCGGGGGACATCAGCCTCACTGTTGGCTTGTTAAAATTTGCTTTTGAAGATGAATAATTGTAAAGATAAGTGTTTTATTTCTTTTACCTAGAGAAAGCAAGTCAAGCTGGTGGACGTTTTTCATTTTTCTCAAAGACACCAGATAAAGGTGATTTATTTACAGAATCCCACAGTGATATGTATGTACATACAACCAAACATAATTTAGTAAGTTTATGTTTCTTAATTCAAGTTATTATGGTATTAAATCAAGTTATTATGGTATTAATTCAAGTTATTGTGTTATTAATTCAAATTATTGTGACATTAATTCAAGTTATTGTGGTCATTAATTCAAGTTATTGTGGTCATTATTTCTAGTTATTGTGGTATTAATTCAAGTTATTGTGGTATTAATTCAAGTTATTGTGGTCATTAATTAAAGATATTGTGGTATTGTCTCCCACCTTATAGAGGTCTGTTGAAATGTGTCTATCTGCCTAACAGTCCAACTGTCTGTCACACCTTTTAGAATACAATAACTCTTTGTTTCTAATTAGCATATATATGTTCATGAGTTAAAAGACTTGACTGAGTGTATTTTCTACTTGATCCTTTGGAAAACAATAACTCTGATTCTAATTTAGTGAGATTGATAAAACTTAGTGATGGTTTTATTACATTAACAGATTTAATGTTTATCATTTTCTACTCTGAACACTGATATATGCAATTAGATTGGTCAATGCTTTAGAACACGATAACATTGATTCTAATTGAGACAGAATGTTCAAACTTTCATTAGGTCAATGTTTTCATTACGTTCAATGATGCACATTTTCTGGCACAGAGTTATGAGCAATTTGATTGTTTGTGACTTTGAAAATCAACTCGATTTAAATTGAGTGAGAGTGATAAAACTTGGGTGTATAATTTATGTATATTTCTGTATAATTTCCAGACGTTACCATTTGAAGGTTTTATCGAATCAGCTAAGAGATATAAACTGAGTAATTTAACCTTTGATGCTTTATGTGATCATAATGCTGATATAGCACGCAGATTAAACAGACCAAAGGTATGTATGGCTTGTATATAATTATTATTGCTTGTATATAATTATAAGTTATATAAACGCCAAGGCTACAACACAAGTAGGATGGAGGTCATGGCCAGGAACATTGTCTAGCCATTTAGATGGTATGAAAAAAAGAGGAAAGCCTGTGTAGACGTTAGCATGCATGTAACATGGTGGATCATGACACCTACACAGATCCTTTAAATAAAACCTATTTACATAATAAAATCATCCCTTAATGTTATTTCACACTAACTTAGTAATGTACAGTCCCTTATTCCATAAGACCTGGGAGCCACGGGTGCTAAGTCGGTAAGACGCTGGTTGGCTAGCCTGGAGGTCGCCAGTTTGCTCCCGGTGTTGGCCGAGAAAGTTCATCGTGATTTTCCAGAGTGGTTTACCTTGTCAGTGGTGCATGACGAAGGGCCTCACAAGGACAGCTGTCTATTCGTTTGGATGGGACTAAAAACCAAGGTCCCGCATACACATTGGCGTGCACTTAAAAGATCCCTTGGCAGTTGGAATTCGATATAAGAGTAGGCCTTAGCGCTGCTTTCGATATTTTGTTTTTGTTTTCTTGATTAAATGTTAAAAATTTGTGAAAAATTGTCCAAAAGATGCAATTGACCTTAGTGGCTTTAACCTTATCCATGTGTTATACTGCCATATTTTAAGTTGACTGTTTATATCTGTATTTCATATGTTATATTGTTATTATCTCTGTATTACCCATGTTATATTGTTATCTGTATTACCCATGTTATATTGTTATTATATCTGTATTACATGTATTATATTGTTATTATATCTGTATTACACATGTATTACATGTGTTATATTTTATAGGTTAGTAGTTGTTGGTCTGTACTACATGTGTTATTTTGTAATAAACATCTCTCCCACAGTATGACACCTAGAACAAATTCTATAGCTCCTTCTAATGATAAACAAGATAACAATAAAGGTTTGTAACATGAAAAGTTTTTGTATATTTATTACTTTTATTTTTTAGTCTTATCTATCTCAATATATATTCTTCAATTTGTATGTATTTTTAGTTATAAAAACTTTAAATTAAACAGGTTTAAGGTTAGATACTTTGAAATATAAAATTTTATGTAATATAATTTAGTGAGGTTGGATGGCCGAATGGTTAGCTTGTGCGCGCTGTATTATACGGTCTGTCATCGAGTTAACTGGCATGGTTTCGATTCCCCAGTTATATGTGACAAGGAGTAGGGTCGCCTGTCCAACCTTGTGGATTTTCTCAGGGTCCTCCGGTTTCCTCCCACTGCTAAAGACCCCTACCTGCAAGCGAATTATTGAAATAAAATGGAATCATGTGTTATTCCTGAAATGACCTAGTTTGTGTTGAGTGGACATTAAATCCCACCTCTCTCTCTCTCTCTCTCTCTCTCTCTCTCTCTCTCTCTCTCTCATAGATTTTCTAGTCATTTTAACATTTAATCAGGACTAGTAAATCTGTCTGAAACGAGGGTCCTTGTAGTATAAGATTTAATCAGGACTAGAAGGGTCCTTGTAGTATAAGATACGCCCATTGCAGGTTTCTTTCTGATTCAAATCACATCCAAAATTCTTTAATTCGTTATTTTATATTTACTATAATTTTATCGTTGATATATTGAGAAACACTGATTCAGTCTGTAGTTCTGTCTTAGAGTTTATCATGAAAGCACTTCGGTATGGAACGAAAAATCAAGGTCGCTACAGAATTCAATGAAACGCAAACAAAAATACTGCTGTTAACTCAAATTTTCAGTAATAGCCCACTGCACGACATATGCCTGTTTGATGTGGAAATTAAAGCGTTAAACCACATTTCTCTTCCCTATTTTATATTTGGATATTTGTACCTAATATATGAAAAGTAAACATCCAATAACAATTCTGCTCTTCCAATCGTACTAAGACAACTTCTGCTGTATCTAATTTATTATATTTCAGGAACAGGGAAATCTCAGTTAACCTCAACACAAGATATGAATAAAGTGAATGTTAAAGATAGTACCTCAGGTATGTTGTAGGCTTGATTTATATTCACAAAGAATAACACTTAAAGTAACAATGTGTCATTTAGCGCTATAGGAATACCTTACAAACTTGGGTTAGATCCCATGTTGGGCGAGAAAAGTCATCGTGATTTTCAAGTGTGATTTCCCCATGTCCCTTTTCAGTGGTGAAGGACACATTTGCGTGCACGTAAAAGATCCCTTGGCAGTTGGAATTCGATCGATATAAGAGTAGGCTGTAGCACCGCTGACCAGGCAAAATTCCCTCATAGCACAGGTATGGTGTATGCCCATCTTCATTAGCCCAGTTGGAGTAGAATAGTAGGACATTAAACCCCATTTCATTTTCCCTTGCAAACTACAACATGGTGACAGTTTAATCTATAATAGGAATTTCAGTTCAAAAATTGAAATTTCATTGATGTGCTTTGCGAATGCAGCAAGACACTGTCATCTTTATTGGCAGCTGAGAAAGCTGGTGGTCTAGTTTAAATCCAATTTAATCCAAGCCAATAGATTATCTAGCGTTGGTATTTTGAGTTTGAATTGCCCGCGGAGCTAATTTTCCTCGTTGGTATTTTGAGTTTGAATTGCTCTCTGAGCTAATTTTCCTTGTTGGTATTTTGAGTTTGAATTGCTCTCTGAACTAATTTTCCTTGTTGGTATTTTGAGTATGAATTGCTCTCGAAGCTAACTTTTCTCCAGAAATGAAATATTAATATAAAGAGCCTGTCTACATCTGTACATAATTCCGTAAAATTATATAGGTCCAAACAATTTAATTTTCAGTTGTTTGAGGACTTAAATCATGTGAAATAATATAAGTACAGGGGACTACACCACACACAAACAATTACACAAGAAAAACTTACAGACAGTACACAACACATAGACACAAAAGATAAGTGAATTGATGCCGGAGCTAGCCGTAAGCATCCACTGCACTGTACAGTTTGTTTAAAAACTGAAAACTTAAACTTTGGAACTAAAAGCTCTCGAACAGTGCAACCAAGTACTTTTGACTTTTGGTTTTTGAATTGATCTTTTTCCTGAAAAAAAGAAGAAACAAATTTTTTACAGGTATTACCGAAGAACAAAAAATCAATTTGGTGTGGCCTTGAATAAACAAATGCTTGATTTTCAATGTTTTGGACTGTTTTATTAATATTTCTTTATATATTTCTTTATGACAGATGACTCAGATGGTGAAAATTCTGAATTAGAAAATAATTTATTAGTAGACAGTGGATTACTTAATCAACAAACTGATTTTTTCTTTGGCGATGGTGAGACAGACGGATTAGATTATGATAATCCCACATCAAGTTTTGATATGTTAACCAAAGTTGATGATGATTTATTGGTAAATATACATTTATATATTATATACTATTCAAAAAAAGTAGGGGATATTTGATTTTTAAGTGTTATTAAAGTCACCTAATGAAACTGACGAAGAAACAAATGACAAAATGAAATGAAGTTCACATTCATCGATTTATTCCAAATGATCGTTAGACTAAGTAAGGCACAGACTGACCATTATAAGGGTAAAATGATACCCGGGGTCAAACAGCAAAGTTACCACAGCATCACAACCAACGGGTAAATCCTCCTCTGTTTGCCAAACAAGCATTGATCCGACGTGGTATACTCCTAATGAGACGTCTAAGGTCATTTTGGTCCAGATTGTCCCATTCCTGTTGCAACGCAGCAGCAAGTTCTTGGACATTGGCAGGACGTTGTTGACGTTGACGTAACCTCTGTCCAAGCATGTCCCAGACATGCTCGATGGGGGAGAGGTCGGGACTCAGTGCTGGCCAAGGTAATGTGGTGATGTTCTGTTGTTGGAGGTAACCTGTAACGATCCTGGCCCTGTGACATCTTGCGTTGTCATCCTGGAAGATGAAACGGCGGCCATGACGTCGTGCGAACGGCATAACATGGACTGCCAAGATGTTGTCCCGGTAGTACTGGCCTGTAACACGCCCTGCAACAACATGTAAAGCCGTTCTTCCAGCAACAGTGATGCCTCCCCACACCATAACAGAACCACCCCCAAATCGATCATGTCTGATGACGTTAAAGTCTTGGAAGCGCTCGTTTCGACGACGCCACACCCTCCTACGTCTGTCCAAAAAATCAACAGTGAACCTTGACTCATCTGAAAACATCACATTGCTCCAGCGTCGATTATCCCAGTGTTGACGATCCCTACACCAACGACGTCTTGCCTGAATGTGATGATCTCTCAAACAAGGGATCACGCGAGGACGTCGGGCGCGAAGGTGACCCCTATGCAGTCGATTCCGAATCGTCTGGCCACTCACTCTCACACCAGTGTCTGTTTGAAGACGAGCGCTGATCTGATTTGCTGTGATGACACGATTTCTCAAGGCCAAGGTACGGATAAATCGATCCTGGGCTTGAGTTGTCGCCCTTGGTCGACCTGAGCGTGGTATGTCCTGTACAGATTGTGTATCACGGTATCTGGACCATAGCCTGCTTATGACAGACTGAGAAACATTCATCGTCCGCGCCACAACCGCCTGTGTTGTGCCGATCTGTAGCATGCCAAGGGCACGTAACCTTTCATTTTGGGTAAGCCGACGCATATCAAAATTTGTTTTCTGGTCACTAAAACAATTAAACTGATGTTTCCACCCTGGAATTCAATGCCACAATGACTGTAACATTCAAAGTCAGAGTCGTGCAAATCTTGGGTTGGACCCCCATGATGATCCCAAGCATCACCTGCATTCCATGCGGTAGCTATTGGTGCGTTTGGGCGTCACATGTAACTGGAAATGTTTCTTCTGTTAGGTTCTATAGTGACTTTTTTCGTAGTCATTTGCATATTTTAGTATTATGCCCCCAAAATCAAATATCCCCTACTTTTTTTGAATAGTATAGTATAAAATATAAAAATAACAGCGATTTGCTTCTACATGTTTCAATATATAATTTCATTAGGAAGCCATTGATAATATTTAACGTTGAACACTTACCCCTGTATACATTATTTCTGATGTAAGACACTCATAACTTCCTTTCTAAAATGGGGGGTCATGGTAGTTGTGCTGTCAGGACTAGAATATTGCCCCATAGCTTTATTCAAAACAGGAAAATAAATATTTTATGGTTTGTATCTATGATTTTGAAAAATTTATTAAAACCCTTCTTTTATTTTTTTTTTGTGGGGTGTATGGGGGAGGGGGGGGGGGAAGTAGTCTAATGCATGTTTTTTAGATCATAAGGTCAGTCATTAAATCATGTGGTATGGTTTCGATCCCAAGTTTTTATGTGACAAGGAGTAGGGTTGCCTGTACAACCCTGTGGGTTTTCTCTGTGGCCTCCATTTTCCTCTCACTGTTGCCTGTCCAACTTCGTGGGATTTCTCCGGGTCCTCCGGTTTCCTCCCACTGCTAAAGACCCCTACGCGCATGACCTAGTTTGTGTCGAGTGGATGTTAAACTCCATTTCTCTCTCTCTCTCTCTCTCTCTCTCTTTCCCTCCTCTCACTGCTATTTTGTGTTGAATGGATGTTTAACCTTATTTCTCTCATACGGTTTCAATCCCTTGCTTGCTTGTGACAAGGAGTAGGGTCTTGAGCATCATCTTTTGGGTTTCTACTTTTGTAGACCATGTGTGCAATCAAATTATTAAAATAAATTGTAACATACATTAGTCCTGAATTGACCTAGTTTTTGTGAGTGGCCATCAAACCCCCCTCTCTCTCTCTCTCTCTCTCTCTCTCTCCCTCTCTCTCTCTCTCTCTCTCAACCTCAACCTCTATCTTTATTCAAGAAATATTTTAAATGCCTGTCTGTTCTATTTAGGATTATAAATTACCCTATGAAGCTATTCAAGTACGCCATGAACTAAAAACAGTTTCGCCTGAAGATTTAGCAGCTGGTCATCAAACTCTAGTTGGAGAACAGAAACATAATAATATGACAGATAATCAGATATCTCCGTCCGAACCTGAGGATGAGAATATTATAAATATACCATTTAAACTTGATATACCACGGATTTCAGAACCTCAAATAGTTGTAGATATGTTAAAAACATTCGCTCAACAGGTTTGTATTATTTGTATATTTCGGGGCACGTACGATGTTAAGAACATTCTCTCAACCGTTATTTTTTATATTTTGGGGCACGTACGATGTTAAAACATTCGCACAACAGGTTTGTATTATTTGTATATTAAGTGCGAGTACGATGTTTGTATTATTTCTACATTCGGGTGCGTACGATGTTAAAAACAGTCACTCAACAGATTTGTATTATTTGTATATTAATTGCTAAGTGAACTCTTGCACAACCACCAACTCAGTATTAGTGGCTGTATTATTGGAATAGAAATTTTATTCTCCTATATACGAATGGCTCCCTATTAATGGACTTTGAACTTTGAAACCTGTCTCAATCATTCAAATTTATTACATGTGATAATGAATTCTGTTTTCAACCTTACTGTCTTCTTGTCAGTGTGGAACAGAGGACCTGATGCAGAGAAATGTCTTGTCATTTAGATGAGATGAAAAACCACGTCCTGTGTGTCATTGACTGCATGTTCAAGATCTCTTTGACATTTTGAAATCGCAATAAGAATAGGCCATATATATCTAGTGCCATTTATGTAAGGAAATTTATCCCCATAGCACACAGCATGGGTGCAGAAAAGTAGGTCAATAAACCCCATTTTATTTAAGATTGGTGAATTTGTTTAGATTGTAACCAATATTGTGTTATAATTATGATCATTGATAAAGTTTAGTCATTGTGTACACAGGACATTAATTCTTTGATGTCCGCGTACCAATATTTCAAATAATGTATGGACAACTTACCAATGGTACATTATTTATACTATATTTACAGGGTGATATACAATCTACTGTATCTATGTTAATTGTATTAGGTGATAAAATAAGACCATATATAGATGAAGAAGTTCAAGAAGCCTGGTTTCAATCTTATATAGGTAATAATTAAACATATATATTTTTATGGTTTCAAACTTATATAGGCAATAATTCATTTATGTATTTACATGGTTTTAATTTTATATAGGTAATAATTACACATGAATGTTTAGATTGTTTCAATCTTATATAGGTAATAATTAAACATACATGTATTTATATAGGTAATAATTAAACATACATGTATTTATATAGGTAATAATTAACATATATGTATTTACATGGTTTAATCTTATATAGGTAATAATTAAACATTTTTATATGGTTGACACATAGATCTCTCTTTTCTGGGTTGTGAGTTGTGACACTGTGGCTCAGTGAATAGGGCATTGGCTCACTAGCCAGAAGGTCCCAGGGTTGATCCTGGTGTTGGCCAGATAGTTCCTTTTGATTTTCAACTATGGTTTCCTCTTATCAAGGTGCAGAACCCAGGGCATGGAAAAGAATAGCATCTAGTCATTTGGATGGGACAATAAAAAAATCTTTCAAGGTCCTGTGTAGAAATTGGGGTGCACGTAAAAGAACCCTCAAACATTGCGATTTTAAGAAGAGTGGTCGGTAACACTGCTGCTTTTGTGTCAAAGTTTTTTAAAAGCACACTGTATGGCGATTGCCTGTCTTAATTAGCCCAGGTGATGTCAGAAAGTAGCACCTGCAACCTCACTTCACTTCTCTACTCTGGTGGCTGCCTTATGCCATAAGGCTTATGGATATAAATAATTTACATTATTAATACTGTCGACTCTCCCTCGGTGTTAATTACAACCATAATTTTAGAATTATTATACAAAGAATGCCGTGGTCTCATTCTGCTGTTAATTACAACCATAATTTTAGAATTATTATATAAATTATGCCGTGGTCTCATTCTACTATTAATTACAACCATAATTTTAGAATTATTATATAAATTATGCTGTAGTCTCATTCTACTATTAATTACAACCATGATTTTAGAATTGTGATTTTATATTTTAGAAATATTGGGTTACTATGAATTATGGACGGTGTCAGCAGAAATTATAAAATTATGTCATATAGGTCAGGTATCATCTTTAAATCAACAATCGACTACGATACATACATATTGTAGTCAGTGTAGTCGACAAATACTCGGTAAAGTAGGGTGGTTATGTGAGAAATGTAAAATTGTTACTAATAGCTGTAGTATATGGTAAGTATAAATAAATCATAACCTTAAATGAATACTACCTAAGTCATAATTACACCCCATCTTCAGTGAGTAAGACATTGGCTCGCTAACCTGGAGGTGATAGATTCCTTTGTTGGCCGAGAAAGTTCATCGGGAATTTTCCAGCATGATTCGTCCTTGTTAGTGCTACAGGACGGAGGGTCTAGCAAGAGACAACGTATAGTCATTTGGATGGGACAAAAAATCAAGGTTCTGTGTGCACATTGGTAAGCTGTAGTGCCGCTGTCCAGGCAAAATTTCCTTCATAGTAGGCCTACACTGTATGGCATATGCCCGTCTTTATTAGCCCAGGGGGGGTTGGATGGCCGAATGGTTAGCACGTGCGTGCTGTATCATAAGGCCTGTCATTGAGTCAACTGGCGTGGTTTTGAATCCCCGGTTGTACGTGACAAGGAGTAGGGTCGCCTGTCCAACCTTGTGGGTTTTCCCCTGGTCCTCCGGTTTCCTTCCACTGCTAAAGACCCCTACGCGCAAGCGAATTATTGAAATGAAATTAAAACCATATGTAAGTCCCGAAATGACCTAGTTTGTGTCGAGTGGACTTTAACTCCATTTCTCTCTCTCTTTCATTAGCCTAGTCTGAGCAGATCAGTAGGACATTAAAGCCCATTTCATTTTAACTTCATTAGCCCAGTCAGTGTAGAATAGTAGGACGTTAACCCTCAAACACTTGTATATGTAGATATTGACTACCCGGTTTCCTGGAAGAAAATTAGAGAAAGGAGTGTGAAACTGCCTCAAACAACCAGAGATATGTGAATAACATTCTGTATCATAGGAACATATCGCATGCACAACTGCTATGCATGTGACAAGGAGGATTGGGGTGGTGGTAGGAGCTCTAGTTAAGATGGTTTTCAGTGTTTTACTAAAGGACACACAAGATTGTGTACAGTAACTTTTTTTGAAGCCTCAATCCGCTTTCCTTTTAATAAACTTAACAAATTAGAATGTCGACTGTCCTCTTGTAATACTTCACAACTAGTTTTTATTCTTCATAAGAGTAACATAACAAATGATCTCTGGTGAGTCTTAATTTTATTCAACAATATGGTAATAATTATATTTATTGTGATTTCTCTTTACAGTCATCTTCCAGTTAGGCATATGTTCATCTGGTGTCAAGGCTGTTGTCATGGCGGCCATATTGATCATATCAAAGACTGGTTTGCAGTAAATAATGAATGTCCTACAGGATGTGGTCACATGTGCCAGTATACTTGATGTGATTACAGATTCTAGTGATTATTTAACGTATTACATATCTTTTAAACAAAATAAAATGCTACACGATTTAATGGAAATGTGTGTACTAGAGTATGACCGTTAAAGTGCAAAAAATGAAAGTAGCTATGAAGTTGATAAGTGAAATTATATCTATTGAGTGTGCTAAAATGTATTTTTTATAATGAAACATTTGTGGTGTTTATGACAACAGAACCAATCAAAACAATCAAAGAAATTAATGAAAATCAAGATATCAGAATGAAGAGGAGAAAAGGTGCCTTATAGATATTAGATGAAATATTTTTCTTTTATCTGTATGGTAGGCCTACTTCAGAATACAAAACATACATCTTCACTGAACGATACATCAGAATACAAAAGATACGTCTTCACTGAACGATACATCAGAATACAGAACATACGTCTTCACTGAACGATACATCAGAATACAGAACATACGTCTTCACTGAACGGTACATCAGAATACAGAACATACGTCTTCAATGAACAATACATCAGAATACAGAATATACGTCTTCACTGAACGATACATCAGAACATACGTCTTCACTAAACGGTACATCAGAACATACGTCTTCACTATACGTCTTCAATGAACAATACATCAGAATACAGAATATACGTCTTCACTGAACGATACATCAGAACATACGTCTTCACTAAACGGTACATCAGAACATACGTCTTCACTGAACGGTACATCAGAACATACGTCTTCAATGAACAATACATCAGAATACAGAATATACGTCTTCACTGAACGGTACATCAGAACATACGTCTTCACTAAACGGTACATCAGAACAATCTTCTTCACTAAACGGTACATCATAACATACGTCTTCACTAAACGGTACATCAGAACATACTTCTTCACTGAACATTACATCAGAACATCTTCTTCACTGAACGGTACATCAGAACATACTTCTTCACTGATGTATTTAAATTCACTGATTGTATTTATGTATAGTATAATGAGTCCTTCTTGTATATTCTTGAACTAGTCCACAGTGGATCTTACTCTGACACTAGTAACAGATTGCACTTAAATTCTATAATAAATCCTTTTACATTTGGGCTCAGTTTGGTCTGAAGTAGATTTATATATCCCTAAATACACTGATTGCACTTAACCGGAAAATGAAAAGTATAATGAGTAGCTCATGTACAAATTCAAATAAGGACGCATTGAATCTTACGTTATCGTTAAGATAACTGAAATGCATTACAGTAGGGAAGCTTCTTTTATTAGTTTTGGGGAGTTAGACACGTGCACCAGCCATTCACATGATGCACTAAAGGCTTTAGTTCATATGTGTGGCATGTTACAGGAGTTTTGATACAATCAAAGACTAGCATGCAACAGTTATGCTCTAAAACTACAAACCAGACAAACTTTATTAATCATAAATTATGTTCCTATTTATCATAAATTATGTTCCTATTTATCATAAATTATGTTCCTATTTATCATAAATTATGTTCCTATTTATCATAAATTATGTTCATAAATTATGTTCCTATTTATCATAAATTATGTTCATAAATTATGTTCATATTTATCATAAATTATGTTCATATTTATCATCACTGAAAAATGAATTTTGGCATATTTGCATAAATTATTGGCTTATTTTTCTAAGGGGCCATCTGTTCTGTGAATTAGAAAGAAATTTTAGTATGTTGGATGGAAAACAAATAGATATACATTTCTTTTATTAGATAATTCTTGTCTGATTTGTAGATTTAGCATACAAGTAACTGCGATTTTTTTTATCCACATGATGTAGAGGGTAGTACCATCTAGTTGTAATATTTTCTAGTCTTTCAATAAATAAAGACAAATATACATATACGTTACAGTGAAAGCAAAATGAGTCAGATGTTGTAAGGCATTGTTTTAGGATGTGGACTAAAGTGTCAAATATATGCTAAAAACATTTTCTGAGTTTTCTTTATTTGTTAAGGCTAAATTTGTAAACTTTTAGTGTTACTGGCCACTACATAGATTTCCCAATTATAATTAGCCTATTTTAACAGTTTTGTTCATATTGTAAAACAATGACTTTGACAAGATATGAAACTTAAAGTATATATTATCAAAGATATTGGTAATTTTATCTAGCAAACCAAAGGTGAGCAGTAGAATCAGTAGTTTTATATAGCAAAAATTTAGTTTAATGAGGTAGCTGGGTCGTAAAACTTTACTGGAATAAAAGGGGATTTTTTTTGTTTTACAATTCAGTATGCCTTTATTTCTATGCATTGGTAGATTAGTAAGTGTTAAGATCGTGTTCTTTCCCAGGAAGCAGGTTAAGTGACCAAAGTATTTTTGGTTGCACAAAACTTTGATTCCAATAAAAAAAATCACAACGATTCTATGGAAAACATTTACTTGTAAATCAAGGTTATGTTTCTATACAATAATAATTATTTTGTTGTTTTAAAGCATAATACTGATACAGTCAGATATTACTGTTGTGGTTATATCTGAATGTGTTCAGTTACCAATTGCTGTTTAAACAGGAATGTGATTCCATGACCGTCACCAACCTTCCTCTAGATTTTCTCCCGTTTTTTTTCAAATCCTTAGCATAACAAAAATAAATTTGTTGAAGAAAAAATATCCAATATGTTGGTTCAAAAATGCCCTTGATGAATTGACATTAAATCCTTGGATTTTTTTGTAACTAATAAGTAAGTGTGTTAAGAAAATAATTATTCATTGTTTTTTTGTTGCTATAATAATATGATCATATTTCATATATGTATGAAGCTTTATTTGAATGTTAGTAGGTTATTGTTAACTAAACAGTTCTTTCAAACTGGCTTATTAATCATCTGGGCCCTGTTTCACGAAATTTTAACTAAAGATAAAATCCAAATTTGAGTAGATACTTCAATTTTGATTGGCTAAGCACTAAAATCAATGTAATATTATCCAATCAAATTACTAAAATTTGGATTTTATCTTAGTTAAAACTTCGTGAAACAGGCCCCTGGTTGAAGTTACTGACAGTGGTGGCAGAGGTAGGGATGGTGTAGGTGCAGGGGGGGGGGGGGCACATTCCTACCATCTGAAAGACATAAAAGAGTCCAAAAGCAAGTCTGATATCCAGACTCTGAGAGTCAATTTTCACCCTTTCTGGTGGATAAAATTATGTCTGTAGAATGTGCTCTTATCCATGACATACTCCAAATTACATATTCAGAAAATTTTTTAAACTTGTCTGCCCTTTTGTCACCACTGTTTTACTTAACCATGAAAATATCTTAGATTTGATGCTGATACTTAGTATGGCATTCAAATGAATTTGATATATTGCAATACAGATTATCCACAGTATAGTACCAGTACATGATATTTTCACTCTACTTTTATTTTGTTAGAAAATAGATTTTTGATGGTTGGCTTTGTTAGGATATTCTGATTATATCAAAGCACACTTGCTATCCATTATTTAGAGCAATTCGATTTTATGTGAAATGGGCAATTGAATTCAAATATTCCATTTGAAAATTTCAACGGATATATTCAAAATTATTTTAATTAAAGCCCAATTTGTGAAAAAGTAGGGTTATTCTCTGGAAAATGAATTGTGCAATATATTGTGATTAAGAATTGGATTATTATTTTGGGTCCCAATACTCAGTCCTAATGCTTCATACTATTTCTATTGGACGGACAAATGGTATAATAGAAATGAAATGAAATGGGGTTTAACATCCTACTGTTGTGCTTTGAGGAGCATATGCCATACTGTGTGCTAAGAGGGGAATTTTGTCTGGACAGCGGCACTAAGCCCTACTCTTATATCGAATTCCAACTGTCAAGGGATCTTTTACGTGCACACCAATGTGTACATGGGACCTCGGTTTTCATCCCATCCAAACGACTAGACAACTGTCCTTTTCAGGCCCTCCGTCCTGCACCAGTGACAAGGGAAGATCATGCCAAAAAATCCTGATGAACTTTCTCGGCCAACATTGGGAGCGAACCCGCGACCTGAAGGCTAGCGAGCCAGGATCTTACCCACTTAGCACCTGTGGCTCCCTGATCTTATAGAAAAAGGGACTGTACATTAATAAGTTAGTGTGAAATAACATTAAGGGATGATATTATTATGTAAATAGGATTTATTTAAAGGATCTGTGTAGGTGTCACGATCCACCATGTTGAATTTTTAAAGTGTGTGATATATATTCTTGTTATTATTTTTATAGAAAAAAAAAACGAACTAAAAAAATGACAAAAGAAATAAAATATTGCCTGAACATTTAACATGTTGTCTTGTTTTGTGTGACAAGCTGTTTATCGGCTGTTGAGACTAGCTGTTTAACCTGTGTTGAGACAAGCTGTTTAAACGGTGTTGCACATTTAGAGCCCTGCAACCCTTCCTAACAAGAGTTACATGAAACCCATCTTCAATAAAAGGCTTGATCTTGCTTTAACTCTGTACATCTTATCAAGGCCTTGACGTAATACCCTGGATATTTCGGCAATAATTTCGATTGTGTATTCACCCAGCTTGAAAGCCTATCAGGTTCCTTGATCATCGTGAATACTATGTCTGTCTTGCACTTTCCAGTTAAAATGTCTACCTGTGATAATCAAGTTGCAAAGTTCAAGGTTTCAGTGGAGGTCGCTATATTTGATTATAGGGTGTTTATGTCACAACCTCTGATTGGACTCACATGTGTGCAGTAAATGGAGATAGAGTAGTTACAAGTTCAGGAATTGTAAAGCAATCTGGCAACATTCAGATGTTGTGAAACCCGCAGTCATTGCTTTAGGAACCAATCTGATTAAAACAAATCCAATTTCGTTTGTTTTTTATAATTCAAAATTTCGTTTTACTTGTCTTTACTACACTAGGATCTGGAAGAGTTGTTATATTACCGTCGTTCTGATTGAAGTGAGGGATTTGCCAATGAAACGGTCTGTTACGACAAGTTCTTGGCATGCGATGCAC